GTGCTCCCTCCCTGATAAAACAGATGTCTGCATACATCCATAAAAGCTTCATAGTTTAGAAGTAAACAAAACTAAGGTTAAGTTTCATGCTAAATGCAATGAAAACTAAATCAAAATAAAGAAGGCTAATCAGACAATGATAAAGCAAATCATCTCCATATGCCGAGAAAAACTACACTCTTGAAAAAAAAAATTGTAGAATGCCTGTTTAACCAAGTATAGTTGTGAGGAAAATCATGACAATAGCTATTCAGCAGGCTGTGGGACCAATGATAATATATATTTTTTTATATGAGCATATTTTAACTTAGGAGTTTTGATGGGAACTGATGCATTAATAAAAAATTTTCCTACTCTGCATAATACCAAGATGAGACCAATGACAATGACCCACACGGGTCTTTTAATAAATGGGGCCTTTAACTATTCAACCTCTTACTGTGGACCCCATGTATTTTATCACTGACATGGGATGTTGTTATGATTGATTCCACACCCTGCTACACAGCCAATTAATTCACCTAATCAGACCTGTGCAATACAACAAAATTTTTGAAATTATATGGCATACCCACCTTATGGATGTCTTCTTTGGTAGGGGTGTCCGGTTTGGTTGGGAGAAAGTACCGAACCATTTTATTATAGAAACTAGACTAGATTAGACTATTTTTTTTTTATGGTTGGATCCAGCTTTTGATACGGTTTGAGTCATTCTATTCGATTTAATGCAATTAAAACGCCCAAACAATATAAACACCTACATAAATAATAAATATAATTCAATATCATAATAATCGGTTTGTGGTTTGGTCTAGTTTCTAAAATTCAGAAAGCTGGACTGAGTCTGAAACTTTGGTTTGGTCCAAAGGGGCTTATGCTCTCTATCTCCTGGGCAAAATCTGAACTGCCTCTCTCTCTGTCTCTCTCTCTCACATACAGATACAGTAGTCTCTCCTATAAAGGAGAATAGCACATCATAAGCGCGGCTACACGCTTGGACGTATGCATCTGCCACCAAAAAAGCAAGCACCCTCTACCTGTACGCATCATAAGTGGACTGAGGGAAGGAACACAGGACAAGACAGGGCCATACTCCACCTAATTGTCCATGTTCATTGACCTTTTATCAAAAGGAAAAGATGGAAGCCTCCATGAGCTCCACAGTATTTCCTGCAATTGGGAGAGAGCTTTGGGTCCATGAGTCCATCCTTAATTTAGAATTGAAAAAAGCTAGCCTGCAATTGAAAGGTCTGTAAAAGAAAGAAAACATCACAATACAGAACTGGGACCAACAATCTTTTCAGTTCAACTGTTGAAGAACTATTTTTATTATTATTATTATTATTTTTTTGATGGGTTAGACAGACTTACAGAGATGTTGAGCTCTCGTGAACTGCACAACTGTAATGACAGACTAGTCATTGTTTCTAACCTGGATCCACTAATATTTTAAAAGCTAAGGGAGCTCAAATCAGGACTCTGGAGGGGAGGATTGGATTATTGGAAGAAGCCCTGTTCCCTGTTTGTTCATGTGACAACAATGAAGAGCTTGGAAAGTTGGACTACTCTCTTGTGTGGGGTTGCACCTAGAACTAGAAGATCTATGTGCCAACAAATTTGCCTATTTGGATTTTATCAAAATATTTCTGCTTTATCATACTTTATTGGGTGGTTAGAGATGATCTTTGATCTAGCTCTTTATATAAAATTAAAAGAATGAAGTAAAGTATTGACACTTATCAATTCATGTGGTAGCAATGGACAATTAGCACAATTTGGAATATTGAGGCCATTCAATCCAATGGTGTTCCTAGTTTGTGGGGGGTGGTTTCAAGGGATTTAGGGTTAGGTGCCACCATTTCGCCAACTGTGTTCAACAGTTTCAATCATCCATCTGTGTTTTAACCTGCTCTTCACAGTCAATCTGTGGGCCACCTCCTCACAGAAAGGGGACAAAAGGCAAACTTGAGAAATGGGTCGTATCCCAGGTGAACTGGGTCGGGTCAGGTGACCGGGTTGACAAGACCAAGGCATATGTGCAACCCGGAAACCCAGAAGAGAAAGTTAAAGAACAAAGGAATAAAAATGGGGTGGTTGCAGAATATGTTATTCCTTAAGGCAGATAAGGGCAAAATAGTGGTTACTGGAAGCCTGTAATGTTTAGTGCGGATTAATGCCAATCCATATCCAGACCAAACAGTTGCACAACACAAGCAGGTAAGGATATAATTCTCTTAATCCGAACCTCAGGTTCAGTTTGAAAAGAGTACAGATATAAATATATACAGTGTAAATACATACAAAATACCAGATTTTGCACTCTACATATTTGCATTTATATTCCTTCAAAATTGAGCCCTAGTAACTAGTAAGTAGTGGTGTTCATAAAAAATTCAAAAAATAAATGGAAACCAGGATTTAGTTCCGATTAAACTAAAAGAAAAATCAGTAGTTAACCTAACCAATTGATATATATTATAAATAAAAAAACCCATAAACTGAATTGATCAAAATCCAAACCGATCAATCACTTGGCCGATTGATTCAGTTCGATGTCAGTTTGAAATATTACCAAAAAAAATTGGAGGATCGGTTCGATTTAAAAAATATGCCCATAATTTGATTATGCCAATCCTCATTGTCATTGGAGCGGGTTAACCAGATTAAGTTGATCCATAATCCTAGGGGTGTCCACGGTTTGGTTAACCGAATCATAGGCAATTTTTGCAAATCAAATTGGTTCTACCAATTAACCATTTTATTGGTTTTTGATCGGTTTGATTCTTCGATTTTTTGATTTTTTATATTTATAATATATATTATATGAATATATGTATAATATTATATTATAAATAATAAATAATATATTATAAATATTATAAAAATATATAATATATAATTTATTTATAAATAGATATTATAAATATAATATATATACATATATAATTCATATATATTTATATATAATATATAGAAAATACATTATAGAAAATATATGACATATTTAAAAATATATAAAATATATATCGGTCGGTTCAATTAACCATCAATTTTTTTTTAAGGTAACCGAAAACCAAACCAATCTTTCGATTTTTCAAAAATACCCAATTGAAACCAAACCAATCAATTCGATTAACCACATTTTCCAATTCGATTTTCTCGATTCAATTGGGTTTTTGGGTTTTTCATGGACACCCCTACATAATCCCCTTTCCATTATTTAGTGTCTGCACTTCATCCAGGATTGAGAGGACGGTTCCCCTCTAATTGTTTCATTATTTATGATTAGACTATAATACTTTTACTTTACATCAATCAATCCAGATTAGTGGATTAATAACTCCTATTTCCTCTTCCACTATCGTCCTCTAATAGAGACATTCTAATTACAAGACAATATCTGTTTAAGTTTAATTAATCAATGATTAAGGACTTGAACCGGAGAACACTCAGACAGACCGAACCTCATCACCGACGTCACCAACCGCATGCTGATGTACGGCAAGATGTCCTCCACGGGTGGGCCCACAGGACGAACGTACGTACAAAACACACGAAATCAAATTCTCCGGAGAATACGAGAGTTAGAAAATATATAAAAAAAGAAGGGATTGTCTGGGATGGGATCACGGGTTGGAAAGGGTTCGAGAGAGTAATTAATGAATGTTCTTCGGTTCTTTTCCAAGGGGTGGGACCCACGCAGTCTGACTGTGGGAAAAAACCTGACGAGGGATCACGGGAGCTACATGTCAGATGCTGACAAAAAAGGACACATAATTCCAGCTGCCACGTCATACGTCAAAGAGAAAGCCTGCACCACTAAAATATCTCCTTCCTCCCCAAACATAGTCCACAGAAAAGTAAAAATCCACACCACTCAATGACATTTTGCCCCTCTGCTCTGGTTCATTAAAACGGGTTGGGTTAGAGTTCAACATGTTTAGACCTACTCATGGGCCGGGTAATCAGATTGGTTGGCCTGGACCGGCCCATTCTTTATTGGACAAAATTTTAGACCCATAATTCAACTTCTCAGGCAGATTCAAGCTTTCTTAAATAAGCCCAATCAAATAATATGACATAATAAATATATAACATATATTAACTTATTATATTATAGATAGGATTTTTTTAGGTCAAGACCTAGGCCCGATAGCGGACCAGAATCAGGCACAAGCTTGGACATTTTCTGTTAAAATCCGGTCCGGACTGGTCCGTAAAGAGGTCTAAACATGTATAAATCAAAAGAACCAGTTTGATGTGGACAATTCAACCCAACCCGGATCAATAGATGAGCGTTGTAGTGGCAATATGGCAATTAAAAGGGAAATGGAAGGGGCATTTTGCCATGAGAGATCTCCATCTCCTTGCATCCATGCCTCCTTGGGATGTTAGCCACTAATAAGGTTTCATGTGATTTCAGCCAGAATCTACAATCTTAGACTAGAGGAGACCAGCTGCCCACTTCTCCATGTAGCCTTTTGCTTGTTTCCAAAGCGACATGGCCGTACTTCTGTAATGACAAAACTAACCCCAATTCCCTATTTGAGTTTGAGCTTAATTACCTCCCGAGCTATCATATTAAATTACCACACTAGTACCCACCCTTGAATCCTATTTCTTGGCAGAAACCCATGATCCTCTAAATTGGATGGCCGATGCAAGACACACGTGTCAATCTAGATCATCGATTATCAAATTTACCAAAAGACCAGGAAATTCTCATGGGAATTACGATAGAAACCTTGACAAACCACCAACAGGGCACGTGAACTACAAAAAATGGTTTCCCTCACAAAAACAAAAAATGGCTTAGAACGAGAGCACGTGAACCATGAAACAAAAGAGGATATTACGGTCATTTTATCTGTCTTAAGCTTTCTGAAATTTGAATTGGAGCTCTCAAAAGCTTGGGAATGTTTTCACAGGAGAGGAACAGTCGACTAGATTGAAGTACGAGCAGAGATCAGAAGCAAAAGAAAGAGTGGGTAGAGAGTGAGTGAGAGAGGGGGTGGGGGGGGTGGGGGAAAGGAAAAAGCTTCAATGAAGAAGCAAGGTTGTGAGATAGAAGCAGTTGGTATCAACTACAAGGTTTACACAAATAACAGGAGACACCCATTTAAGATCTTCGACAGAGATGAACAGCAGCAAGCGGCGGAAGGAGATCAAGAACTGGATGGGCTAGAGAAGGCCAAGGAAACAAAACCCAGGTGCCGGCACGTACTAAAGGACGTAAATTGTCGAGCAAAGCCGTGGGAAATTCTGGCCATTGTTGGCCCGAGCGGTGCTGGCAAGTCGACGCTGCTGGAGATCCTTGCCGGCAAGCTCACGCCTCAGACGTCGTCCATCTTTGTCAATCAGAAGCCCGTCGATAAGGCTCAGTTCAAGAAGATATCAGGGTATGTCACACAAAAAGATACGCTCTTTCCTCTCCTCACCGTGGAAGAGACGCTCATGTTCAGTGCCAAGCTCCGGTTGAGGCTGCCACGTTCGCAGCTGAGCTCCAGGGTGAAGTCATTGATGGAGGAGCTAGGCCTGAGCCATGTCTCGGGGGCCCGAATAGGCGACGATCGGGTTCGTGGAATCTCAGGTGGTGAGAAGCGACGTGTGTCGATTGGCGTCGACGTAATACACGACCCCAAAGTGTTGATCCTCGACGAACCCACGTCGGGGTTGGACAGCACGTCAGCTCTCCAAATCATCGACATGCTGAAGACCATGGCTGAGACGAGGGGTAGGACGATAATTCTCAGTGTTCATCAGCCTGGGTTCCGAATCGTGAAGCTCTTCAACTCAGTTCTTTTGTTGGCCAATGGCTGTGTCTTGTACCACGGGACTGTAGATCAGCTGAGCATGCATTTACGGTCCATGGGTTTGCAACTCCCCCTTCAGGTTAATGTCGTCGAATACGCCATTGATGCCATTGAAACCCTTCAACAACAGCAACGAGAACAACCACAATTGCCGCAACCACCCAGGAGAGGGGATGAAGGTGAGTTCAGAAGTGGTAGGTTCACTCTGCAGCAGCTGTTTCAACAATCTAAGGTAGTTGATGAAGAAGTAGTTAATGTTGGGATCGATGTTCCTTGCGGTTTTGCTAACTCTAGATTACGAGAAACGATTGTGCTGACACATAGGTTCTCAAAGAACATCTTTCGAACCAAGGAGCTCTTTGCCTGTAGAACAATTCAAATGCTGATCGCCGGGCTGGTCTTGGGTTCAATCTTTTATGATCTGAAAGATGATCTTGTGGGTGCCGAAGAAAGAGTAGGTCTGTTTGCATTTACATTGACATTCTTGTTATCTTCCACCACAGAAGCTCTACCCATTTTCCTGCAAGAGAGGGAGATCTTGATGAGGGAGACAGCATGTGGAAGCTATAGGATCTCATCTTATGCAATCGCCAATGGGCTTGTTTTCCTGCCATTTCTTCTCATCCTGGCTCTGTTATTTTCCATTCCACTGTATTGGTTGGTGGGTCTTAATCGGAACTTCACGGCATTCATGTATTTCCTGCTATTGATCTGGTTGATACTCTACACAGCAAATTCGGTTGTGGTTTGTTTCAGCGCCCTTGTGCCAAATTTCATCATTGGTAACTCGGTGGTATCTGGCGTTTTGGGGTCATTCTTCCTGTTCTCCGGCTACTTCATATCAAAGAATGAGATTCCAAATTATTGGATCTTCATGCATTACATTTCGGTTTTCAAGTATCCTTTTGAAGGGTTCTTGCTAAATGAGTTCTCTGGTTCAGGGAAATGCTTGGATTACATGTTTGGTACTTGTGTCATAAGTGGTGAGGATGTTCTTAGAGAAGAAGGGTTTGGAAATGCGAGTAAGTGGAGGAACGTTGTGCTCGTGATTTGCTTCATCCTGGTTTACAGATTTATTGCCTATGTCATACTTCGATGTAGGTGCTCTGGGAGGAGTCTCAAGAAGAGTTTGGCTTGAACTCTTTCTTTCTGTGAATATTGTTGGGAATTTACATAAAGTAGTCTTTCAGAAACAAGTCTCATTTCAGTAAACATGAAATGTAATAAGAGCAAATTTACTAACATGAAAATTTCATTTCTGACATCTCTTTCTCTCTCTTCCCTTTGGCTATTCTTTTCTTTGTAGTCTTTTTCATTTCGTTTTCTAAGAAAACAAAAGCAAAAGAGACTTTGACTATATCATCTAAGGGTATTGGTTATGAGCAATGCATGGACTGTTTTATAAATTTATTTTTTAACGGCATAAAATATTCCATGGATTAAATTCTGACATGTGGCAGAGAATAGTAATTTTACAGAGGCAGAAACAGGAAAAAGAAAAAAAAAGGAAAAGCAATGCATATGATCCACAAGTGAAATTTGTAATTGTGATTGCCAAAGAGGGGGAGAGACTAACGAAATGCATGCAATCCAATAACTTGCCTGACCAGCTCAGGCGCTTAGCTTATTAAGCAGCAATGAAAACAGTGCAAATGTTTTCCCCCCAAACAAGGTGTTTTGCCAATTTTTGAAAGCTAACATCTTATTTTTCTAATAGTTTCCATTACACTAAGACAAAAGTAATTTTGCTAATTACACTAGTTTCTTACACTATTTCTAGTTTTGGGGAAAAGGAAAACAAAAGAAGAAAATGGAAATGAGCAGCTTTGTCATATGCAGCCTGTCAATGGCCAATAAACAAACTTCTGGTGTATGGGTTCACCAAGCGGAAGAGAAAAGTCCAGTGGTCCACCATTCTTGGCATTAACAAACAGCCCAAGACTATTTGTCTGGTAGTAAATCATGCTGTCTAGGGAACTTACACAGTTGAAGTTTTGTTCATAGCCCAGGGCTATGCCCATTGTTCGATAAATGGTAATAATTATATTCATAATCTAAAGGAGATTATGAATTTGAGCCCTCTGTTTCATAGTTCAGTTTTGTTGCTGGAAATCAAACTCTGGATCTACAAAAAACTTCCGGTGACCTGAGAGAAAACCAAGGCTATATTGCAAATTAGGAGAAGAAAAATACGAGGCAGAGAGAAAAATAAGACAAACTATGCCACAGAAAATTGCTTTGTGTGCTCAATGTATACACTGACATTCAATCCAAAGAAATTAATAGGTGAAAGTAAGTCCAATGTTGAAAGGAAGATATAACGCCTGAACCAGACGAAACCATAAAGAAACGGAAAGAAACATGCATCATTCAGCAAGTGGCACAGATGTGTAATGCACCTTCAATCAAAGGACCCACCAAAGAAGGCCCTGCAGACCCAAAAACAAGCCCAATAATGTGATCCTGACCACAAATACGTGGACTTTTCCTATCTTTGGACAAATTGTTGTCTGCCAGTATTTTCTAAAGCATCCACGTGGAATGTAATAATTTATTTGGTCACTTGATTCTGACCACTCAATTCATTTAAACAAACCAACTTGTTAATCCCAATTTAACTAATAAACGAGGGTTAAATGATTTCGTTATCCAAGAAAAGAAAATGTGAAATAATGTGTGCAGTATTTGTAAAGAAAAAGACAAAGGATACAGATGTCCTAGAAAAGTATCTACCCAGTCCATCTACTTTATACCCTCATACTTTGTTTGTTTCTTTTTCTTTATTCAATCAAGATATAATTATAAAAGTAGCCCATCATTATAGGGTATAAATCTCAAACGCTTACTCTTAGGTTCTATAGATACTAAATATGGCAGCTTGCCATATATCACATGATGTTAAGCAGTCCAGATGCTTTAGCAGACAAATAGCTGATTAGTATATTGGTTTCATATAGTATGCAAATTTACATTGTGGTTATCTCATAATAAAGAAGCAATACCCACTTTAATTTTGCTCTGCATGTTCTTGGAATTCTTTTAAGAGATTTATGATAGCTTGATTGTCACAACCAGGTTATTAATGGATCAATTCACCCAATTACATGATCCAATTGAATCTGATCATAGAAGAAATGAGAAAATAGTATAGGTCCAGTTGGATACTATTAGGGTCAAGTAGGGAGATTTCCACATAAAACTACCTATTTCTGCCATGTGCAGGGATCTTGTGGCAGATACACTGAATAGCACATATGTTCAATCACACTCCATATCACATCCTTATGTCACAACTTGTATTGGTGGTATTTAGTTATTTACAATTAGTATTAGCCACTCAAAGTACTCAATTTTTAATATAAAAATTTACCTCTGAAGAATGGTTAATTTTGCATACTTGGCAAGGTACTTCGAGTCAATTTTTCCATGAAAAGAGGGTAGGTGAGGAATTTAGGAATGTGTAACATTCTTAAATCATCTAGGAAAGCTTACTAAACAACCCAACTAGCATAGCCACCCATTACCTACATGCATACTTTTAGGTTTATATGTATGTTCTTTGTTTTATTTTATTTTTAGGTTTATACGCCAATATATGGCTTCCACTAGGAAATTTCACATGTTTAAACTTATATTTCATAAACAAAATGAAACTTTTCTGAAACTGACATCCTTGATTAGTTGATTATGAGAAAACCACACTCACTCTGATACATACCCTACCTCTTGACATCCCATTCACATTGATGGTCCATAACAATGACCTTATAACCACCATATGCATGTATTCTGGAAAAATACTGAGGTTTGGTGCTAGAGTATATGGATCAGTTTACTATAATGTTAGCAATGAAATGGATCTCAACGGTGAGGTAGAACAAATTACAAACAATTGCTTGCATGAACGATGACCAAGGAGTAAACCTTTTCCTCCACAAGGAAACCATGATTTTATTCCAAAGGAACATAAATCCATCCTAATTTCATGTGTTCTTTTGGTTGAATAATTTAAATTCTTAGGGAATACTTTGAAGGGCATTATATTTACAATTGGAAATTACATCTTATGTAGCCAATCCCAGCCATAGGTCTACTGATTTCTAAACCTACCAAATCATGGAAGAATTTAGTTTCCATCTCCATCTTGGACATAAAATGCTAATTATGGGTCAAGTAGGCATCCACTACAGGTGACCAGATGAATGGATTCTTTACATCAAGTTGATGTTGTGCCTAAGAAACTGAGAATCACTTGTCATTGGTAGAAACTGAGAGAATGGAGCAGTACTTGCAATCTTCTCAGGACCAATAGGAATTGGTAACTCAACTAGAGCAGAATTGCTTGCTGTGTTACAAGGCTTGAGGCTGGGCAAATTACTGAAATTTAGAAATATGATTGTGGGGGTAGGGAGGTATTCAAAGGTTGTAGTGGGTTGGCTGAGAAACAACCAACAAGGTTCTTGACAATAAAGACAAGTGATGAGGCGGATCTTGCAACTACCATCAGATTCACTTGGACACACAACAGCTAATAGTTCAGCAGATTCAATGGTAAAACAAGGGGTAAATATGACACAATTGTTTTAGGAAAATGTACAACAATGACGTAAAAGAAAAGGGGTTGGATACTTCTACTAGTCCCCAACATTATTTGTATACTACTCTGAATGCACTATTCTTTTCTCATAATTAATAGAATTCTCAACTGTAAACAATAAAAGAAACCATCAGAACTATTCAAACTTAATCTAATAACAGAACAAAAATTTTGTATGGTCAATCTCATAACTTTGTACAATTGTTTCACTCTCCCTGCTTTATACTACTCAATTGCTCTAACTACTGCGTATGCTTAGCAGTTGTCCCACCTAAATCCTACAATAGCCTTTCTTCTATTAAAAGATCACAACTTGTTATGCGGTAGTGGTGGTGGTGGTGTTGTTAAACAGCTTCCATTTATATAAACATCATTTCCTTCCAAGTAGGAAAATTAAAACCTCACTAAAATGCCTAGTGAAATAGACAGCAGGGATAGAAGTTGGGAAAGACCTCTGAGATAAAGGAAGTAATAGATAGAGGGGGAAACATACTGATAGGGAACATGATTGGAAATATATGTATATCATGGTGGAGTGGTTATGTTTGCCTATCTTTGTGAACAATGGTGGTAAACCATGAATAGAATTAGTACCTACATCAAGATCTCAAATCATTTGAAGATAAAGTTGCCAAATCTACAATTTAGCTTGTGAAGAAGCTACAAGTGAAATGGTTGTAAACTTACCAAGTAGCACCTTGTCTCTTTTTTCTGCTAGTTTGGATTTGAAGTTCGTATACAAAGGCTGCAGGAAATTACAAGTTTTGGAACACATTAGAGGAATTTGTCAAGCAACTTCCCTAACAATATATTGCTCTTTCCATTATTAAGTCAAACATATATTACAAAACTAATGTCATAATCTGTGAATTTTTATTTATCAGATTTGAGAGGTAAAATATACAGTGGGTTATGATAAACGAACCTCTCAAGTTCAAAATTGCGCTTATGTCAAAAAGGGAGAGCACAAAGTTATACATCATATGACTTCTTTACACAACCAATGTCACAAAATAGACTTAGATAACACCGTAAGAATTCACTCCAGCTCTAAAATAGACCTCACATCCTGGAATTCCTTGTATGTTTTTGAAGATTCCAAGGATCCATTCCTTCCAGATGGTTTAACATAAAGCAAGAGAAACAATCACAAAATAATCCTCCCTTAGTTAACACTTCTAGGGGTTCTCAAAGTCAATGTGATCTTACACATCCTGCTTGTCACCATCCATCCATACAGCCCAAAATGCCTCGATGATCTATTCCATAATATGCTAGTGAAGAGACGGTATAGAAGAAAATGTTCCAAAATTTGACTCTCCTGAGCAAAGTAAACACTCGTCTATGAAAACCTTTCCTCAGATCAGGTAGTTGTTTTTGAGATCTTAACAGATATTTGAAGAAAAAAGAATTAATAAGGTGCTTTCTTCATTGATATTAGTATATTACCCAGCTTCAACTAAAGCAAATGCTACTATTGCACCTTACAAATTCTCTAGGGTGACTGTCAGGATCTATTGCTTAACTAGATCCTATGTGCATATGTGCCTTTTCTACAGGTTCACTGAAGTAGCTATAACCAGATTTAGAGAAATCCAATTGATTGCTTGGTTTTTATTATATATGATGAGCGTGTGCTGGTTGACTATGTCAAACCAGTATTTGTGTAATATGTAATGCCGGAGGAAGATGAAAAAAAGGAAAAGGAAATAGCTTCAGTCAAGCATATTTGCTTTAAAGTCCGTAATGAACTGAAGACTTTGGCAGCATGAAGAATACCTTATTTATCAAATATGAACCTTCCACCTATATTTTCTCCTGCATGAAGCCATGCATGGGTAGTAGCTGACTACTTTGTTCTTTACTACAAAACTACAGGCTAGCTTGCAATGGGTTGCCAATGAGAACCATGTCAAAGGATCAACAATTGCATCCAAATTTCCGCTTAGTCTTAATTGATCAAATTAAAGTTGACTGCTCTTCTTCCCTCTATTCTGATCTAGAAATTCAACAAGAATTGTTCTCAACTTATTTTTTATTATAATAAAGTAATGACTAGAACTATTGAATGAGGACTTAAGTCTAAGAAAAGGGAAGCAAACCCATATTTGTCTCAGCCTATATGGTCATGTGACTGTAAAGATAGACCAGTAATTGGATTTTTTGATAAATGACCAGTAATTGGGTTTCATAAATCCATGTAAACCCAGCCCGGTTCCATGGGACTAAAATTGCACCAGCAAGCCCAAGCCTAATAAGTTGAATTTGGGTGTAAAGCTTATGAACTAAGGCCTATTCAAGCAAGTCCGATAATTTAAATTTGTCCAACTCAAGTCGATTCTATGTGCTGACCAAGAGATTCTCCCAATTAAATCAATTAAAGATTTGATTGCATTTTCAAGTTTTGTCAAATACTGGGAAGTTTTTTAAGCTTTAAATAGGCCTTTGTTTGCTTCATCAGCAAGTATTTTTATATTTAGTGTATACTTATTAAGAAATGTAGATCTCAGAGATGTAGTGTTCATCCATAAATGAACTTTGTAAATACTCCTTTGAGAGTGCAATTAGATTATAAATTTCTTCCAATTTATGGTTTGCTGTTCACTCTAAGTTTTTGAAGGTGCTCATTCCTAGAGAAACCTAATGGTGTTGACCATATTAAGTTCTATCTTTATTAATTTGTTGCATATTGTTTGTTAAATTATTTATTTATTTTTTTTTGCAAGTTCTCAAATTTCTTATCTGATAGTTATCTTATTCCCTCTTTCTATTACTATTTTCACCCTTCATTTCCCTTGGTTTCTTACTGAGCTTCTGCCAATTCCTTATAACCATAAAGCTGGCATCTTTTTTAGCTTCAAACACCTATCACTTTTTTTTTTTTATCAATAAAAAGAAGTTTCATTAATGAAAAAAGAAATTACAGAGATTACAGGTTACGAGTAGCCTTGGCTACCCCACTACAATGTAATGTATCCACTATTAGATTGATTTTTCATTCTTACAGTTGAGCCCAGAAACAGTGATCACCGTTTACCCCTTGTTTGGCTAGCTGGTTTGCAAATCCATTTTCTGCTAGGGGTCCACTGAATTGATAGCTGCATGTTCTTGGATAGGCTTTTAATCTTCTTGATGTCATGATATAGACGCATTTATCGGGAGGAAATACCACCGCCGGCAGCAACAGTGATCCGGTGTTCTCACCCTATCCAATTCGGCAGCAACAGTATTCTTATCAATTCAGCAAATTATTATCTTATCTTATTAGATTAGAATTAAGAGAGATTTATCTTATCTTATCAGTCTTATCTTATCAAGATAGAATATATTGCCTTATCCTATTAGATTAGAATTAAGAGAGGCTTAGCTTATCTTATCTTATCAGTCTTATCTTATCAAGATAGAGTCTCCCTAATCAGCAAGGAGTCTCCCTAAGAGCAGGACTCTTATCTCTTGTAATCTCCTATTTAAGGAGTTGCTATTATTCAATAAAGGCATCGAATATTCAGTCAAGAAGAGAGTAAGGAGAGTTGGTGATCTCTTGAACAAATCACCATCAAGGCGCCAAGATAAGTACCTCAAGAAAAGGGAGGGACAAGGGGAAACAAGAGGGTTTTCCCGTGGACCGACCCGTGATGAGATCCTATTCCTGGGCCCTTAACATGTCATTTCTGAATTGCCAGGGTGTGCTGTCATTTTGTTTTAGCCAACCGATGATCACTTTGGAATCACCTTGCACAACCAGCTTTTCCACCCCGAGCTCCTTAGCTTTTTATATCCCATATACCATTGCCTTCATTTCAGCTGTAGTGGAATTTCCAATTCTAATGGGATCTGAAAACAGCCCCAACACAATTCCTCTTTCATTTCTTATAACCCCTCCAACTCCAGATCTTCCTGGGTTACCAAAACTGCTGTTAAAGTTTAATTTGATAAAAGCTGGTTCAGGGGGCACCCAATCCTTCAGGATCTTCAATTTTACCGAGGAAGAGGTAGCAACTAACCTCCAATTCCTAATTATATTTATCCACTGTAAAATTGGAAAATAAATTCAGTGTTTTCACCCACGAAGTCACCTTCATCCACTGTAAAATCCCTATCACTTTTCTAAATCCTAGTAGCCTTCTTTTATTCATTAAACCATCCTATAGAGACTATTTAAAATCCCTTTTTAAGAAGAAGACTATTTTAAAGTATTTTACCAACCTTTCAGTTCTATTTTCTCTTACTTATTTGATTACCAAAACAAACAAATTGAGGGTCTTGTGGTCTGTCTATTTAAGCCATTACCATTGGTGGTTGTTTGGGGACTGGCATCAATTGCCATACATATACATGTATATGGTTTCTCAACCCATTTAGTTCATAGCAAAAAAATACTAGAATACCCACTATGAAGTTGATCTGATTTTGATTAACTAGAGCTATCCATCAATCTAGAATAATATCCAAATGTGTTATCCTATTGCAGAAATAGTTGGTATTTCCTTGTGACAATGGGAAGTTATTTCCAATTCCATTGGTTCCTCACATATCTCCAAGGCTGAATATCCAACTGCGGGGACATATCCAGATAGCTTCATCTGTTCTACGAGTATCTTCAAAAGTGCATAGATTTCCTTTCTCTGAGGGTGGCTTTTGTCTTTCACCATGAACACATGAACCTGGCTCTGTATTTTGATCCAACTGCACCCTGGCTGCTTAACAACCCCACGCTGTCTCATGATCTTCCTTACTCTCATGGCATCCCCCCACCTTCCAAGCTCTGCATACATGTTTGAGAGAAGAACATATGGACCTGAGTTCTTGGGATCGAGCTCCAGGAGTTTCTCTGCCACATTTTTTCCCATTTCAATGTTACCATGAACTTTACAGGCAGCAAGCAAGGATCCCCAGAGAACAGTATCAGGCTGCATTGGCATGTTATCAATGAACTGCTTTGCTTCATCAAGGAAACCAGCTCGACCTAGTAAATCAACCATACACGTATAGTGATCTTTGGATGGTACCAAACCATAATCCGAACTAATTGAATTAAAATACTGGCGTCCCTCATCAATCAGGCCTACATGGCTACAGGCACATAGAACTCCAATCATTGTTACATGGTCTGGTTTTTCTCCAGATGACAACATTTTCTTGAAGAGGCCAACAGCTTCACTCCCACGACCATTTTGCGCATACCCCACAATCATGGCATTCCATGAAACACGATCTCTTTCTACCATATTTTCAAATACATATAACCCATCTTCGATTGATCCACACTTTGTGTACATATCCACAAGGGAATTTCCGACAAATATATCCGACTCTGGGCCAGACTGAAACCTGAAACCATGTTTCAGGACATGACTATGAACCTGCCTTCCAAGCTGCAGGTCAGCAAGGTTTGCACATGCATTAAGGACATTTCCAAATGTGTAATGAGTTGGCCAAACTGATTCTCTCTTCAATAGACAGAACAGTCCCAATGCCTCTTCATTCTCCCCACTCTGAGTATAACCTGCAATAAGTGCATTCCAAGATACTGCATTTCTCACTGTCATCTTTGTAAACATTAACCTTGCAGCTTTGACACTTGCTGCCTTTGCATAACCACTAACCAGGGAGGTCTCTGACACCACATTTCTAATTGGCATCCTGTCAAAAACCCACCTTGCTTCATTAATTTTTCCACATTTTGCATACATATCAACCAATGCATTGCCTAATACCACATCATCTCTGAACTCATCAGACTTGACCACACAGGCGTGAATTTGTGAACCTTCTCTAATTGCTGACAAGCTTGCGCAGGCACTGACCACACTTGCTAGTGTAACTTCATCTGGCTCAACCCCAGAGCCCATCATCCTCAAAAAGATTCTTAGAGCCTCATTAGCTGGACCATTCTGCTCATAACATGTGATCAAGCTGTTCCAGGAGACTATGTTTCTCTCTGTCATCTCATCAAAAACCTTTTGCGAATCAACTACATTCCCACACTTGGAGTACATATCAATAAGCGCAGACCCCATATATACATCAGATATATATGGGGATTTTGACATCAAACAGTGAATTTGAGAGCCCATTTTTAAATCCATTAGCCCCGAACAAGCACTGAGAGCACTGGCAAACGAGTATTCATTGAGTACGAAATCCTCACTGTGCATATTAATAAAGAATTCCAGGGATTCTTCAAAGCGATCATGTTGAGCAAAACCTGATACCATTGAGTTCCAAGAGCATTGGTCAGGTTCGGGCATCGTTCTAAAGCGATTCAAAGCTTCATCAACAAAACCCAATTTTGTAAAAGCACTTATTATCGTATTCCATGTGAAGGTATTCTTCTGGCGCATTCTTTCGAACAAGTTTTTGGCATCATCTATACAGCCACATTTGGCATACGCATCAATTAACCGATTCTGAATGAAAATTTCAGAAGCAAATCGGGTCTTCATGACACGGGCATGGACACGACGCCCGTCTCGCAGAGACTTCGACTGTATGCATAAATCCAAGAGTTTGGCGAATGTCGTCGAGTTGGGTAGAGAAAGGTCCCCAACAAGATGTCGAAATGATCCATATCTTGCCATTCCATCGTTCCTCAAAGGGAAGACTACTTTACGAGTGCTTTTTGCTCCAGATGCGAAATATTGACAAGGGATTTAGAAGCCAAGTAGAATGCCTGACCAAGCAACGAAAGAAAAGTCCCCGGTGTTCGAGCAGCCATTAGAGAAATTGAATTCCTGGCCCCTCCCTTTCATTTTGCTTAGTGCTTAGTTGCTTACCCCTTTTATGGTACCGGTTAGGGGTGAGCATGGGCCGGGGTTCGGTTCGGTTACATGGCAGAGGGGCTGTGAAGGTCGGTTTAAAGGTTGGTTCTGGCTTTAGTTTGTGTCTACTTATGTAACTTGTACTTTTTTAATTCTCACCCTTTGAAAAAGCATGTTATTTAAAAATTTAATTTTTAATAAAATAATATATAGTTTTAAATTTATATTATATTATCGATTAAATTGAATAGCTTGATATGTAGATTATCATTGATTAAAAACTTATAAATTAAATTTAAACTTTGTAAATATTACCTTTTACACTATTTATTGTACACGTTCAAATATTAAAATGAAAACAAATGATCAAATCACTTGAATGACTCAATGGTCAATTGAGACCATGGCCTTTGTAATCACAAATGCCCGGTTTCAAATCTTCACATCCTCAAAAGTATTCTAAGGTTTATTTCAAGGCAAGTTCAGTTCCACCAAACCTGATTTATCGGGTTGGTTTGGGTAGGGTAAACCCCTAGACCTTACAATTGGCATAGGTGGGGTCGATTCCAAGAATTTGGAACCAGACCCTATCCCGTAATAAATTGGGTAGGGTCAGTTCAAGGTTGGTTACAGGTAGAACCTACCCATTTGCTCACTCCTAATACCGATTGATTAGTTACAAATTTTCCAATCTCATACACTTTTTTGGGTATCATAGTTGAACCCAATTTTTTAATAATATGACATTTGTTGTAATTTCCCTGAACCTTTTGAAAAGGCCACATCTTTGTTAAAAACTAAAAATAAGGGAAAAATCCCAATCAGTACCCTATACTTTGGTTCGAGTGACAATTTGTCCCCAAACTTTAAAATGCGACAATCCAGTACCCGAGCTTTCAAAATGTGACAACCCAATACCCGAACTTTCAAAATGTAACAAGCCAGTACCTGTCGTTAACTAGTCCGTTAATCAGTTGTTAAGTGACATTTGAAAAGTCAAAAATACCCTTCTAATGCCATCTAATTCTCTTTATCAACCGTCCAAATGTTGACAAAAAATTGAACAATCCCAAATTCTAGATTCTTCTAAACAATCACCAACTTTTTTTAATAGAAGAGGCCTGGATTTGGGACTGCTCAGTTTTTTGTCAACAATTGGATGGTTGATAAAGAGAATTAACGGCTGATTAACATACTGATTAATAACAAGTACTGGCTTATCACATTTTGAAAGTTCAGGTACTGGATTGTCACATTTTGAAAGTTCGGGCGCTGGATTGTCGCATTTTAAAGTCCAAGGACCAAAATGTCACTCGAGCCGAAGTACAGGGTACTAATCGGGAATTTTTCCTAAAAATAATAATTGCACTAAAAATAACTTAATATTATATTTTATGGACAATTAATTTAGTAGCAACATAACATTCAAATCAACCTTACTAATAGATACATTATAAATTTGGTAAGGTGGCATTTGATAAATCTGAAACCTAAGAAGTTAAAAAGATATTATCCAAGTCTAAAATCTAAAAAGAAGTAGAAATGATTTTTTGCTTTTTAGAGGTTCTAAAAAGATAAGATCATTTGAGTTGGAGCAATTCTACATCTAAAATTGTGAAAGTTTACTATTTTACCCTTAGAAATGGACTGTTTGATAATATTATAAATAATAAAAAAAACATTAAATAAAAGTAGTATTCTATTAATAAATAAATATTACTTTTTTGAAATAAATAATTATTTATTATTTAATTAAAAAAAGTAATATTTATTATTATTATTATTAACTAACAAGAAATAAAAAATATTTATTGAACAGGACAGATCTGTTGATTGATTTTAAGTTTTTCCAATGTGTGTGTGTGAGCTCTCACTGAATTGGATTATAGGGTATATATGTGGATCCAATTATAAATAAATTAAATTCTCATTACTCGTTCGTTTAGTGGTAAATAAGAGGGGGAAAGTTGGTCAAAAGTTCAGATTTTTTGTTAACGAAAGTTAAATTATTAGTAAAAATAAATTAAATAATAATTAAAAAAATTAAACTAAACCATTACTAATTTAAAGTCCATTTAAAACAATAAAAATTAATAAAAATTTATTAATTTTAGAACTAATATTATCAATTTAAAATCCATTTAAAATTAAACTAAAATTTGGGTACTCTCACTGGGTGTGCAACTTGGATTTTAGTTAGATTGACTAGATGTGACCATAAAAAATGTTTGAGACGGACTTGGATTGGCTTGGCTCAATTGAGAATGTCACATAGCTCCTAACTCAACTTCGCTTAACAAAGCCTGCACATTAAAGACCTACAGTGTCCTTTGTGGGTAATGACACTTAGGTCTCTGAACTTTCATTTGCGACAGAGAGCTACCCTCTTCCATGTACAGCTGTACTTTCAGATCCTAACACTATACTTTTGCCTTTTGCTGTTAGCATTCCATCAGTTTTGAACTTTTATGAGACCATTTAGCCCTCTTCTTTATTGTATCTCCAAAACCAAGTTTTGAATTTCAATTGCTTCAGAAGCAGAAAAATGGTACGAGTTCTCGGAGCATCTTAGAACCAACAAGATGAGCACCCTACCTCTTTCAAGTCTACATCTCTCTCTTAAAAATGAAAAGAAGAAAAAGAAACAAGATGGAAAAGTTCAAAACTTAATAATAAAACAATGTGCTTGATATTTTCCAAAGTAAAGCACAATATAACTATAGCTGATGAAATGGTTCAAAATTTGAAATACATTTTTAATGACCAACCAATTGGGTGCAACGTGGAAATTTAGGAAGGATAACCATCCAACAACACAAATTTCCATTAGAAGCTTCCCTCAAAATTTGTATCTACGGTTGTTTAGGTCTGCACCATTGCACCAAGAACCAATATCTCCATCAGTCAAATAAATCAACCTTGGGCTTTTTAAGTTAATTTCTACAGTTCAACAGCTTTCTAACTATTTTCTTAAAGTAAGCAGCTGCATCACAAGGCAACGCATTGGGGGCCATTGTAAAAAGTTGACAAGCAAAATCCAGGTTACATTTCAACTGATTTTTTGAAGTTTCCTCAACTCTTACTAAGCTAAGAACCACCAGCTCAATCCAGAAGCACTTAAATCCACAATTTACCAGAAACCTGCTTCTTCTTACAAATAAATGGATAAAAGAATGCTCTATAATCTACCTTTCTTGATTCTAGCTTCTGTATTCCCTACTAACCTGTTTCTTCTTACAAATAAATGGATGAAAAGAATGCTCAATAATCTACCTTTTCCTGATTCTGGTTTCTATATTCCCTGCAGACCAGCTCAGATAAATTAACTTGAGAACATAATCTAGATCATCTGAACCAAAATAAATCTACACAGGTAATTTTAATTCCACTGAGAAATACACAACACTCTTCTAGGGAATGTAATGAGGGGTTTAGCAACATGAACTTGAATCTCCCCTCCCGTGAACACTAAATTATCTGAACCAAAATAAATCTACACAGGTAATTTTAACTCCACTAGAAATGCACAACACTCTTCTAAGGAATGTAATGAGGGGCTTAGCAACATGAACTTGAATCTCCCCTCCCCTGAACACCAACTGATTTTCAACTCAACTAAGTCTTTTCCCAACTATATGGGGTCAGCTGAACACCAACTGATTTTGGCAGCCAAATTCATGTTGGGTCATGTCAGAGAGAAAGTTAAGATCTGTAGTAAGTACAAGAATGGTTAAATACTTATTCACTGTTCACCTCCATCCTCAACTACATTGTGCTGTTGAAGGATGTAACCCTCATCTGCCATTTCACAAAGTAGTAACTGCAATATCGAATAAATTTCTCCTCCACAATGTTGTATTTGGTTTGTCTTAAAAACAAGTACTTGGTTCCTGATCCCAATCCAACTGCAGCCATTCACCTTCTTCACACCTCTCTCTTTCATGGCCTTCCTTACTCGAACCACACTCTCCCATTTGCCCTTGATCCCATATGTACGAGCCAACACCAAGTAAGGAAGAGATGAGATTGGTTTCAACTCCAGCACCCTTTCTGCAACTATTTCCATGAGTTTCAAGTTCCCGTGAATTACACATGCACGAAGAAATAACCCCCAAATGGAAGCATTTGGCTCATGAGGCATTGTTTCAATAATATCCATTGCTTCTGCAAGTTTACCTGCTTGGCCCATCATATCTACCATACAAGCATAATGCTCATCCCTGGGAATGATACCGTATTTCTCCACCATAGACAAAAATGCATGCATCCCTTCATTGACCAAACCACCATTGCTACAAGCCAATAGAACCCCAGAGAACGTTATTTCATCTGGCTGTAAACCACTCTCAAGTAGCTCTTCAAATAATTTTAAGGCTTCAAACTCACATCCATTTCGAGCAAAACCCATGATCATGCTATTCCAAAATACCAAGTCTCTGGTACTCATTTTAGGAAAGATTTTCAATGCAGAATGCACTGACCCAGATTTGCTGTACATGTCCATCAGTGAACAAGCAACAATTGCATCAGAATCCAACCCCATTTTAAGAGCCAAAGAGTGGATTTGAGTGCCCTGCTCTGCTGGCAAAAGGCATGATGAGATCATAGAATTGCAAACTGAGGAATCCCTGCTTAGAACACTGCTGAGCGTAAACTCTGTAGGCCTCAAGTTCTCCCTCAAAGTCAACACAAATAGCCATAGCGCTTTGTCCTCAAACCCATGCCTTGCATAAGCTGAGATCATAGAATTGCAAACTGAGGAATCCCATCTAGGTACTTCTTCAAAAACCCGAAGTGAATCCTCCAATCTGTTGCATTTGGAAAACATGTCAATGATGGCACTTAGAACTATGGAATTAGAAAGAAACCCCATCTTGATACAGAGGGCAAAAGCTTGCTTACCTTTTTCCAAATTCAACAAGTTGGAACAAATGGTGATCACCATTGACATTGTGAAATGATCTGGACAATGCCCAGTAGATCTCATCAAACAGAACTGATCCAACGCCCAGTCTCTATAACCTGATTTTTGTAACCCCGACATAAGGGAGTTCCAAGAAATAATATCCAATTCCTTCATTGAAAGAAATACATTAAAAGCATAACGGACAAGAGTGAATCTCCCATACATGTCAATCAAAGAATTTCCTATCACTACATTGGACAAATTCAAACCACTTCTAACAACACACCCATGAATCTGCTTACCATGATCAGCAGACCAAACAAAGGACAACACAAGCGAGAATGTGAATCCACTAGGTCTTACACCAACCCTTTGCATTTCTCTGAAAACTTCTAATGCAGAATTAGCTAGACTATTTGCAGCATAGCCTGAAATCATTGAGTTCCAACTGACAACATCTCTCTCGGGCATAATACCAAAGAAATCGTGTGCCCTCTCAAGACGCCCGAATTTAATTAAAACCATCAACAACAAATTCCAAGTAATACAGTTCTTGTTGGGTATTTCATCAAACACTTGCAAAGCATCATCAATAGTACTTAGTTTGGAATAGAGATCGATATAACGGTTACCCAGAAAAGTATAGCCACTCAAGCCAATTTTTATCAACTGGGCATGTAGGAGTTTAGCATAAACCAAAGATCTCAATGAGAGACAACGGTCTATGAGATTAGAATAATAAGATGTTAGATTCTGTGAGCTTTTATTCGAAATGGGTACAGAAAAATTCTTACAAAATATCAAAGGCAGACCAAATTTCTTCTCTAAGGCCTGGAGACGACCAATCATATTACCGAAAAATGCAGAGCTTCTTCCTCTTCTTCCATGTCTGCAACTTATCGCAATTTTAATTCGCTTTTACTTCAACCAACTAGGCCCTGATAAGGGGTCGTCTGTGCTGCAAGTATTCCCTCGCTTTTTGTTACGATTTCCGAAAAATAATTTAAAATGCCTCCTTCATCCTTTGTGCCGTTGCGACTTGGAGACCGACCTTGAAGAGTTGAGGTCATGGATTCCTGGCTCTGGTTCTGGAGGACTATTGGAGGGTGTTTGGTTGCAAGGATTTCTCTGTTCAAATTGAGCTAGAGAATTTAAAAGAAAGTCAGACTCGGACCTACTTGGATCGGTTCTTTAGACCATGATACGGATTCGGATCCGATTACCCCTATAAAAACGACTAAACGAGGGAAATGCCAGAAACAGAGATGGCCGTTACATAATAATCTAGAGCTTATTTCACTCATGAAGTCTGAAACAACGTCATGTTATCAAATGGAAGCATTAGAACCGTTGATCCCGTACATCACTACTCCTCCCTTATTGAGGAATGCATCACAAGCAAACATCTCAAGCTGGGAAAGCTCCTACACTCACGTCTGATCAAAATCGCTTTCAATCTCAACGTTTTCCTCTGCAACCGTCTTGTGGACATGTACTCCAAATGCAGTTATCTGGAAAGCGCTCAAAAGGTTTTCGACGATATACCCACTAAAAATACGCACTCATGGAACACAATCCTTTCGGCATATACTCGATCGGGTCTTCTCAATAAAGCTCAGAGTTTGTTTGCTGAAATGCCCAAACCAAATCTTGTTAGCTATAATTCGATGATTTCAGGGTTGAGTCACTACGGGTTTCACAAAGAAGCAATCCGAGTGTTCAAGAAATTACAAGCAGAGTACAATGGTGTGTTGATTGATAAGTTCACTTTTGTCAGCATAGCAAGTACTTGTGCCAGCTTGGGATGGCTAGAATTGTTGCGTCAGATACATGGAGTATTAGTTGTGGTTGGCATGGAGTTGAATCTCATAATGTATAATGCTTTAATTGATGCTTATGGAAAATGTGGTGATCCAGATGCTGCCTACTGGCTTTTTAATCAAATGGATGAAAGGGATGTCATCTCATGGACTGCAATGGTGGTTGCCTTGTCACGGGCATCAAGATTGGAAAAAGCCTGTTTGATATTTGATCAGATGCCAGTCAAGAATGATGTCTCTTGGACTGCTTTGATTGCAGGGTATGCACAAAATGGTCATAGCAACGAGGCATTGTATCTCTTTGAGCAGATGCAGCATGAGGGAATCCCACCTAGCGCTTTCACATTTGTTAGTGTTCTAAGTGCTTGTGCAGATCTGGCACTCATTGAACGGGGGAAACAGCTTCACGGGCACATTATCAGAAGTAGTGGTAGAATTGAGTTGTTCAATGTGTTTTTATTTAATGCTTTGATAGATATGTATGCCAAGTGTGGTGACATGAAATCGGCAAAAATGTTGTTTGAGAGGATTCCTGAGAAGGATATTGTCTCTTGGAACTCACTGGTAACTGGATTCGCTCATAATGGGTACGGGAAAGAATCAATCGATGCTTTCAATAAGATGATGGAAGAAGGTGTTGCTCCAAACCATGTAACATTTCTTGGGGTATTATCTGCTTGTAGCCATTCAGGTTTACTATCTCAGGGACACTGGATTTTAGAGTCTATGGAGAGGGAACATGGTGTATGCCCAAGGGCAGAGCACTATGCAATAGTGATTGATGCTCTTGGACGAATGAACAAACTTGACCTAGCAATGCAGTTGATCAAGAAAGCACCTCTTGGACCACATTGTGTTGGGATGTGGGGTGCACTTCTTGGTGCCTGCAGGGTCCATGCGAACTTGGATCTTGCAAGAAAGGCTGCAGAAGCTCTCTTTGAATTAGAACCTGGGAATGCTGCAAGATATGTTATGCTCTCAAATATCTATGCAGCTGCAGGTAGATGGGATGATGCCCGTCAAATGAGGAGGCTCATGAAGGAAAGGGGCTTGAAAAAAGAAGCAGCTTACAGTTTGATTGAGGTGAGGAATGAGAGATATGGGTTTGTAGCTGAAGATAAATCTCACTGTCAGACAGAAGAAATATATGATGTCATTGCTAAAATCTCTGATCAAATGAAGGAAGATGGCTATAAACCCCACAACAGCCTCACATTTCTTATAGAGGAAGAGTGATATACTGTTCACAGGCCCATGTAAATGTGCATTGATGGAGCTCTTTTGTTCAATCTAACTGTAACCAGGATTCTTTCTGATTCTCCTATGTTGCATGGTCTTTCGAACTTGTGCTAATCTCTCCAAGCCCCCACGAGTGTCATACATGCTAGATAATTGCACATAAGCAGTTGAATGCCGAGGATCAAGCTCAAATAATACTTGCTCTCACCTTCCTTCTGGGGGTCTCATTTCTATGAGCCAAAGACCCCTTTAAAAACTGGGGATACATGCTTGCATATGTGGATCTGCCTCAACAGCATTGATGAGATCCATTATCCATTGCCATTTCAAGAAAAGCAGCATGGGCAAACAGATCACCCATGCACAAGTAATGCTAAAGTTGTCTCAATATGACTTGGTTCGTTGGATATAGCCACCTTTCTCTCATTGTCCAGTCAATGGTGGTTGCAGGCAGACAATACAGCAGTAAAATTGGGATTAGCACGTTCATATCTCCAATTTTACCACACTTGCAATAGAGATCGACTAAGGAGATGCAGAATATTTGATCAGACTCAAGGCCAGTGACAGTAACTCAAGCAAAGATTTGTTTTGCCAAGTTGCAGGGAAGGAATTTAGCACCATCACTAATTACACCAGCCAGACTAACCTCACCCATTCTAAAATCCAGATTATTCATCATGCAGAAAAGGAGGAGGAGAACCATTCTGACTATAACCCACTATCTTCAACTTCCATGAGATCAGGATCCTACTTGGCATTGTATCAAATAAATACTTATTTTGTGTCTTGTATTCTTCCACAGTTGGAGTAGACATTGATCATACAACTAAGCAAAATCATGTCATAATCTTTGAGGTCACCAAAAATTTTCAGGCATTACTGAATCTCTGCACTTGGTGCACATATCAACAAGAAGATTGGCAACAGTAATGCACAGCTTTGTAAGCATAAATATGCATTTGATTACCAGTTTTAAGAAAATACATGCTAGTACAGGCACTCAAAAACACTCGCAATAGTAGAGATGTCTGCTCAAATTCTTTCTATTTGCATCCTTTTGAAGAATTCCAGTGCTTCCCCAGCTTCATTATTGGCAACATATCTGGCAAACATGTACTTCATATAAAACAACACATGAGCTACTTCTGTCAAGGATTGTTCCTGCATCAATCAATTGACCACAGTTTGTATATCCCCAAATTGATGCAAACAGGAAATAACCATTAGGTTCCTGCAATGAATTTAAAATGTGGCTTGCACTATCCAAATCTCCACACTTCCCATACATGTTAACAATAGAACTTCCACCATTCCATGCACCATTTCAAAATACACTCCACTAAAAATTATCCGGGATTGGATTTGTTTGCCAAAATAATTGAGACAAGCACTCTGAACCCTTAAAGGCCAGAGCAACTTCAGGATAGCCATAACACACATATCCATGAATCAGACAATTCCAAGCAAGCCAATTTTCCAGAGGCATTTCATTAACAATCTTCTGGCAACCTCAAGCTCCCCTGATTTCGAGAATGTGACATGACTGCATTCCATAAGAATACGTTCATGTGCTGCATAGAAATACAAAACTATAGGGAACTTTCCTTGTTTCCGGATTTCTAGTTGGCTTCAATCATGATTTCCCACAAGAAAGGGTTTCTGTCAGACACCTCTTCACTCAGCAACTAAATGCCGTGCCTCGTTGGAGGTGCCACGAATTATATACATCAGTTACAGGCAAAATGCCCAATGAACAGAGCGGAATCTTTTAAGGGCTCTCTCATACAAACGGAGATGCATCATTGGGTTTCCTCTTGTTCCCTGACAGTCATCCTAGTAGACTAGTAGTTGGTATTTTCTCAGTATATGGGGTTTATATATATGCAATTACTTGGAAACCCTTCAATACCTCCCTCCACCCAAACAAGGAGAATACAAAGCCCATGCATGTAGAGGGGTGCTACGCATACATCACCAATTCACCACCACCAAGTGGAATCTGTTGACAGGGGTCCACCCTACATTATTCAACCTTGGCGGTGGTGATGGAAGCAACCAGCTTCATGGTATTAATCGAGATTCCGGAAGAGAAGCGACACTCAAACACCCCATGGTAGAAATTTTCTTTACAATGCGCTGAAAAAAAAAAACATATCAGAAAAAGACAGACTACTTTTCATTTTTTTCCTCAAAAAAGGAAATATGTAGCAAGACTTCAAAGAATCATCTCTGCAGAGAGAGAGAGAGAGAGAGAAGGTCCATTACTCAGGAAAGACAATGGACTCAGAGGTGAAGAAAGGATGTTCTTTCCCTACTGCTTCACAATGGATGAAAACCATCTGGGCAAGCATAAGGTTGCTACTTCTTGGGTTGCTCGTTCTGTGGATAATAACTCCTACCAGTATATACAATCGGGTGTGGTTCCCCAACATCAGGGCAAAGACTAATTCAACATATTTTGGAAGGCAAGGTTCGAAAATCAAACATTCTTGTATTCCTCTTCGCTTATTCATTCCTGGGATCCTGGCCTCAGTTTTGGTTAGCTTGCTTATTAAATTTTTAATCATGATTTTACAGGGACATTAATTTTAATCTACACAGTCCCAGTCCTCTTACTTGCCGTTTTGGGCTGCGTTTATCTTCACTTAGAAAAGAAATATGGTGATAATTCCATTGGAAGGTATTAGTTCTCTGTGTTTTCTTTTCTTCTTTGATCCTTTTCTGGGTTATAGTATGCTAGAATTGAAAGTTTTCTTCCCTGGTTTTCTCTCAACACAGCAATGGCCAAACCAAGTTAATTCGTTTGGCCTTCTTACGGGCGAGGCCGATGCTTGTCGACGGCCCACTGGGGATTGTTACATGGACGGAGCTAGCCTTCTTCACCATGTTTATTGCTCTGCTGGTCTGGTCTTATGCCGTCTACTTGCAAGTCGGCCTTGACTACATCACTTCAGAGATTGCCGAGGCCAAAGGAGAGAAACTGTATGAATACATATATATCCAATTTATCCACTAATTATTTCTTGTATCATACTAAGAACTGATATTAACCAAGGTTGTGGCCTTGTGGGTTGGTGGATTTGCCAGGTGGCAAGCTCAGTTGGACTGTGCAGCTGTTAGACTAGGCGTGGTTGGGAACGTATGTCTTGCCTTTCTCTTCTTCCCTGTGACTCGAGGCTCGTCGGTATTGCCGCTGTTGGGCCTCACTTGGGAGGCGAGCATCAAGTATCATATTTGGGTTGGGCATGCTGCCATGATTCTGCTCACTGCTCATGGGCTATGTTACTTCGTCTATTGGGCTGCAACTCATCAGATTTCCCAGGTAATCAAATATTTAGATTTTAAGGTATTATTATTATTATTCTAAGGAAGATTTTATTTGTAATGAATAAGGTGTAATCAAGCCGAGTTGAATTGAGTTTTGGGTGATTCAAGCTTGAAATTTGACTTGAACTCAATCAAGTTCTGAATTTCATACTCGAATTCGACTCAGTTTAAGCCAATTATAAATAAATTGCTATTAAAATTATAAATAAATTAATAATTAAAATATTTTAAACGAAATATATTAAAAAACTTGATTATAAATTTATATTATAAATAAAAATATATTAAAAAATAATATTTTATTAATAGCTTGAATTAGGCTCATGAACTATTCAAACCGAATATTTCGAAGCTCAAACTCGGTTCGACTGACTATTCGACTCAAGTCAAGCTCGATTCAAACTCAATAATCTTCGAAACGATTTAAGTCTGACTAACTCGCGAGTTAACTCGACTCGCTTACACAGAGAAATAGAGAATGGACTTGTGGTTGAGAATGGCAATTCAATGAACCGGGCCAAAACTACCAACCTGAACAACCAAACTATTTATCGGGTCAAAAAGAGCCACCGCTCTTCTTGTAGTATGTGGACCGAAGCCTTTTGGAACAGGAATCTTTTTTCAAATTATAGATTTTGATAAGTGGGCCCTAGTAGAAACATAGCCTCAAATAGTCCATCCTCTTTTTCCAACCGAAAGTGTTGCAAAATTCTAGTCATTCATTATCTTATTGTTTGTATATGTGTGGTTTTATTTACATTTATTCAATAAATGTTTATTGATGGTGCCACCATCAGCAAATGCTTGAAATTTGTAAAAGAAAATTTTGGTTTTTGTGTGCCTTTTCTATTTTAGAAAACTTCATTTTGGAGCTTCTTGAAATGGATAGACGTTTATTGGCATTTTGCTGATGTGGTGCCTAATGGCGCCTATATGTCACAAACGCCCTCATTAAATGCTTGTCTCGGTTTTACAGTCATACAAGTACAAAATGTTTACTGGATAAACGTAAACGGAACCAAACACCATGTTTGTCTTGCCTCCATAAAAATCTCTAAGACAAGATACCTCAAGTCTCATTTCTACAAAAAAAAAAGAAGTCTCATTCACTGCACGTACCACTCTACCAGTAGTATGTGTCATTGGACTGTTTGATAATGACTGAAATGGCTGAACTGAATGACTTATTGCTTTGTCTTTCAGTATATATATATATATATATATATAGATATATATATCATTAAGCATAGGTTTTAAGCTCCTTAGGAATAAAGGCTGAATGGCACGTTGGGTTGATTACTATATTCAGTCACTGAACTCCTCAAGGAGGGAGTTCAGAATGGTCAAACATTTGTCTACACAATAATTCTCTCGAATCCAAAATATATAAGAAATTAAAGATTATTTTGAATCCCTCTTAGTTTTTAAGGTTAAACCAGAGGTAAATTGCTTTGGATGTAAGTTTTACTAAAACAATACATGATACCTTAATAAACTATTTTTCATTGATAATAACTGTGTACAACATGATCCAAGGAATAATACTATTAATTCAAAAAAATCCCAATAATTAAGTTCTTTTTGCATGTTTCACCAAGTCCTGAATTGTCATTATCAATTTATGAATTAGATATGCAACTCTAGTTGGTATTCTAGATACAGATAGACTGATAGAACATATCATTTTTTTTCTTTATTCATAAAAACAAGATTAAATTACAAAATTAAATATTGTTATAAGAGTTTGTCAAATTTGGGTTTTTATATAAAAGATTTCTCAACCCTCCTTGATATGGCTGAACTTCAACATTGTTTTAGTTTACCTCAATCTAGATAGGTCAAGGCCATGAAAACACCTTTCAGCTTTTGAATGAGATTCTATCCCACAAATATAATTGAAATGGGTAACTATTTATTCTCCTTGGGCTAACTATATCTTTCCTAGGTTTGCTTAGTCTTTCAGAAGAAAAAATGGCAAAGACTTACGACTACTTTGGTAACTGAAGACTTGCGACTATTCTTGTGGAGTGTAGGTGATCAAATGGGCTAAAGCCGGTATATCAAATATGGCAGGGGAACTCTCTTTGTTATCTGGACTAGCCATGTGGATGACGAGCTTCCCTTGTATAAGGAGAAAGAAGTTTGAGTTATTTTTCTACACCCATCAGCTCTATTTCCTCTTCCTCGTCTTCTTTGTTTTACATGTGGGGAGTGTCTATTCCTATGTCATGCTTCCAGGGTTGTACCTCTTTTTGGTTGATCGATACTTGCGGTTCTTACAGTCAAGACAACATGTTAAGTTGGTTTGTGCTCGTCTTTTGCCATGTGAAACTATTGAGTTGAACTTCTCAAAGAGCCCAGGTAAGGATACCATCATGGAATGTAATGCAATTTCATCTCCTATACATTTTCAGATCATGATCAATGGTCCCACATTGGATTTCTTGATCATAGGATTGACTTATGCTCCCACTAGCATCGTATTCCTCAATGTTCCAAGCATCTCAAAGCTTCAGTGGCACCCTTTCACGATAAGCTCTAGCAGCAATATGGATCCAGAAAAGTTAAGCATTATTATTGGAAGTGAAGGAAGTTGGTCCCAAAGGCTTTATCAGATGCTGTCATCACCATCTCCTGTGGACCATCTTGAAGTTTCTATAGAAGGACCCTATGGACCTGCTTCAACTCATTTTCTAAGGTTTGTATAATTATTTATGAAACGAAAAAGAAAAAGGATACAAATAAAGTGACAAATCATGGCTTCAATCCTTCCGCAAATTTCAAGCTAATTGGCATTAGGGAACATTGATGCAGGCACGATACCATTGTCATGGTGAGTGGAGGCAGTGGTATTACTCCTTTCATCTCTATAATTCAGGAGATCCTGTCTAGGAGCATTACGTCAAGAGAAAAGTCTCCAAGAGTTATTCTTATTGCTGTCTTCAAAAGATCTGCAGATCTTACTATGCTAGAACTCCTCCTCCCGGTTCAGGGCATTTCCTCTAGCTTCTCCTATATGCAATTACAAATTAATGCCTTTGTTACAAAAGAAAAAGAACCTGCAACCAAAAACCAGAAGCTCCTTGAAACAATCTGGTTCAAGCCCCACAAAGAAGATACACCTTTATATCCCATCCTAGGCCAAAACAATTGGCTCTGGCTTGGAATTATTATCTCTTCTTCTTTTGTCATTTTCCTTATCCTTTTGGGCATTCTCATGCATTACTATATATATCCTATTGACCATAACACTGAAAAGATATACTCACACCCCTTAAGAGCACTTCTGAATACATTGTTCTTGTGTATCTGCATAGCCATGACAGCTAGTGCAGTTGTTCTTTGGAATAAGAAGCAAAATGCCATGGAAGCAAAGGAAATTCAAAATAATGATGCATCAATGCCAATGGCATCTCTAGGTCCAGCTTCCCATAATGTGGCTGATTGTGAATTGGAAACCCTTCCTCGCCAGTCTCTTCTCCAAGCTACCAAAGTGTACTATGGTGAAAGACCTAATCTGAAGAGTAAGCCTACTTAATCCTTTTCTTTCCATGATATGCATATATATAGTTGATAAAGTTGGGACTAAAATGGATCCATGTATTCTCTTCTTGCAGAGATGCTATCTGAGTGTGAAGGTTTGAGTATTGGAGTTCTTGTTTGTGGCCCAAAGAAGATGCGACATGATGTTGCAAAAATTTGCTCATCTAATCCTGTGGGAAAACTGCATTTTGAATCTATTAGTTTTAATTGGTGATACATGCCTCAAAACTCACAACAGTAACAAGAGAAAACCATCAGATCTACGTAGACATTGTTACAGAGTATAAATTAAAGTTAAAATAATTGGAATGAAGTTTTCTGCAGCATTTAATTTGGAAAATTCCAATCATGAGACAGTAATTTGATAAAACTAGGGTAAGAATTTTCTATAATGCTTGATATATAAAAGTGTCCATTGTGTACTATATCAAGCCTAAGGAAGCAACATGTGTCTTAATGAGGATGTTTTTGTAGAACATTGTTTCGTGGTCATAGCAATAGTAGGGCAATTCAATTTAGATGTCATATATTTAAGGCTCAAGTCTCATAGAAGTTATTTCAAGTCATTTATTCAATTCAAATCTGGATATTAACAAATCAAATTTGGGTCCAGATATGTTCAATTCATTCTGGTCTATCAGCAACCCCAATTATTAGAATTTTCCCTCAGTATTCAGGATGTTCACAAGAGCAATTGCAGTTAAGCAATGGAAAATTATTAGAATTTTAAATAGAGCTCTCTAACTCAGCTCGATCATGATTAAACTTCTAGATGCTGGAGTCACCACTAGGGTTTAGGGAACATGGATGTTCCAAGAAAGCCCTCGTGGTTTAATAACAGGTTTCCAAAGTCAAAGTCTAATAACAGACTTTGAGGGTCAAAGTCTATCTTACTAAAAGATTTTATCAAGACAGAGGTCACCAAGAATCTGAATTAAGGCAGATGCTTACTGTTTCAATAGGTATCTTGTATTCCATTGAACTGATAAACAAGGTTAAAACTTTACCCTAAATTTGTAAGCCACTCTTACACAGGCAATTTGGGTGGGCCTTGGCGCAATGGTTGGGCTGCTCCATTGCAACCTGGGTGACCAGGATTCAAATCTTGGAAACAGCCTCTCTGTATGTGCAGGGGTAAGGCTATGTACATCTATCCCTCCCTAGACCCTGCATTGGCGGGAGACTCATGCACTGGACTGCCTTTTTTTTACTCTCAAATGATAAGGAAGAAATGTTAAGATGAGAGCATAAGAAAAAACTTCAACCCTTCCAACCCAATGTTCTTATTTTCCTATTATCTTCTTCATTGCATCCAAGGCTCAAAATGGGCCATTACAAGTCAATCTTTCCAACTGGACAGCAATGATATATAGATCTGATACCTTAAAGGGGTTTCACTGTTTCATTGATACTTTGTATAATGGTAAAATCTTGGGTTGGCAAGGATGAGAATGCAGTTTGAGTCTGAGGACAGCCACTTTGTGTGACAAATGCCAAAGGTTAGAACAGTACCCACTCTACCCCTCACAAGACCCCAAATAGCTGGGACCAACAATGGATTATGGTCTTTTTTAAACCAATACACATTATGCAGACTGATACAAACAACAATAGAAACCAATATGCACCAATGCTCTGCAGTATTTTATAAACTCAACATGGACAAGGACAACAAAACTTGATTCAAATCACCCTCTTTTGGTATAAACATTTGTGGGAAGCTCTCTAAAGGCCAGGTGACTAGATCTACTATATTTTTCTCAACAAAAAGCATAAAAATTAAGGTGTTAACAGAGATTATAAAAGAAATAAAAAGGAAGGGGAGACAAAGAAATAAAAAATGAACAATACCTGGTCATTGTTGTTCTTACCATTATTGCCAGCACCAATGCCATCCAAGTCGCCGCCTCCTCTTCTTCTCATTTTTCAGTCAAGGAATAATTTTCTTTTTCTTCTTTTCTGAAGGTTTATTTTTAGTGTGGCACATAACACACATACACGTATAATACAATTTGATAGAAAACATTTCTTGATAGCCCAGTAGTTAAAGGCTGATTTGAATTTATTTGTTGTATACACATGTATACACATGCATACACCATTCCATACACATGCATACAACATGTGCTACATTATGTTGATTGTTATGTATTACTTTTAATATAAACTATGAAAGTATGTGTTTATTATGTTTTTATGCCACATCTATATCCATATGAGCCTTAAGTTAGTATTATTTATGTGATTCTAAGAGTCTTGTGAGTTTCCCTAACATATTTGTCTATATATAGTTTTTTCCACGTTCTCTGTGTGTATCCAAAGCATATCCGGATACATCTCTTAAAATTGCGTTTCTTGATACTCCATGGGATACTGGTACTTTGAACCCTGATTGCAACACTTTTGGTCAAGTTCCTATAATACATAACTAGGAGACATCCACTGTGTGACGATGGCAAAACTGTTTTCAAAATATGGGAGCTCAGATCATAAAAAGAGAAGATTGTAGGAAATGTAATAATATGAACACATTAAATGGTTCTTAAATGGCTCAGAAAGATGGTCCTAGATTAGCACTTTTCTATAGGGAAAAAAAAATCATCCCCATATTAAGCAAAGCTATAATAAGATCACACATCTGAGATACTCACAAAGCAGACATTTTAGAGGCTTCTAATGCTCCCTTCATTTCTAAATTACCATCATGGAGAATTTTTTCACGCATCAATCGCCATAAATAAATCCTCAAAATTTCCTCTTTCTTGGCTTTTTTACAGTAAACTTTAACTTTAATCAAAGAAGTATTTCAGGATTAAACAATTTATTAATACATAGAAAGGACCATAGTACATTTTCCTCTCTAGGTCCAAGCTAATAACAATGCCACTCCAAAAGAAGAAGTATTTCCCTTCCAAGTTGTTCCAATCTGGGAGAAGGATATACTCACTCCTCTTCATGCCCAGTTTTATCATTGCTAAGAATATTGAACCCCATGATGAAATAAAATAAAATGTTCCAATGGACCCATTCTCTTGACAGGAGTTTTCTTCATTAGGGTATACAGTCTCAGTTTGCTGGTCTCAGATTAATTTTCAAGTTATCATCAATTCTATAAAGCAGGTTTTCCACCTTCAACAATCTGAACAATCTAAGCTGTCCATTCAATAACCAATACAGACATTGCAAGGACAGTTTATTGGTAAAAGAGTTGGACTAGTCAGCAGCATATACAAGAGATCTTGACATCCAATGTCTTAATTGGATGGCATTATTGATTTTTCAGTCCCTATCTAGAACCACGAACCTGGCTGTCTGTCCATGCATACTTTTCTGAACACTGAATCCAGATCCCAATTCTATCTCCTTGCAGTCTTGCATAGAGGAAAATCCCATCAGAATCAGTGTTATCATAGACATAAGTGCTTACTAAGTTTGTTTTGCATCTGCACTTTAATCATCACAATGTAACCAAACTAGGCCTAGATAGAACCTCAAACCTATATGGAGTTATAGGGTTCAATTCATTAAGATGTTTTTCAGCCCATTCTCCCAACCTCAAATGCTTGTGTTCTCTACAAGCATCAAAAACTTTGATCAACATTTGTTCTGTTGGCTCAAATGGCATACTCTGAACGAAATTCTCAAGATCATCTATATACCCATACCTACCGAATAGCTCAATCATGCACTCATAATGTTCTAAGCGAGGTATGATGCAATATTTGTTGCTCATTGAATTGAAATACTGCTTCCCCAAGTCCACATACCCCTCGCCAATACAAGCAAGCAAAATCCCTTGAAAGGTGACATGGTCTGCTCTAACTCCCTCCTCCATTGAGTGAAACAAGTCAAGAGCCTCCCCACCCCTGCCATTGTGAGCGCAACCCAAAATCATGGAGTTCCAGAGGATCAGATCTCTTGGGGCTTCCTCTTTAAATACTTTGACTGCATACTCATGACACCGGCATTTGGAGTACATATCAACCAATGCTCCTCTAACAACAATGTCTATCTCACAACCTTTTCTAATCATGTACCCATGGATTTGTTTTCCTTGGTCAAGTGCAAAGATGTTGGCACAAGCTGCCAAGAGGGTTCCAAATGTGAACTTGTTTGGTGTTGTCTCCCATTGCATATCCCAGAACATTCTCATAGCTTCTTCACTCAGCTCATGTTGAACATAACTAGTGAGCAAAGCATTCCATGAAACTCTATCACGCAAATGACACATCTCTGAGAACCAAATCCTGGAACTATCCAAGTGCTTACACTTACCATACATATCAAGAAGGGCATTGCCCACAAGAAGATTAGAGAAGAATCCATGTCTGTAAACAAAACCATGTACTTGTTTCCCTAATTCAACATCTGACAGTCCTGCACAAATGTTGAGGATCAAACTGAGGGTTACATGGTCAATGTCTTTGGTCATTCTGCGCATCCAGAGAACAAAATCCAGTGCTTCCTCCCACAGTAGATGCCTCACATACCCTGCCAACATTGCATTCCATGAGACCACAGTCCTTTCAGGCATCTCATTGAAGAGTGCCCGTGCCTGTCCAGTTCTTCCATCCATTGCATACCCCGACACAAGTGAAGTCCAAGAAATTATGTTTTTTGATTCTGGCTGATCAAAATGTCGTTGAGCATCCTCCAAAACCCCACATTTTACATACATATCAATGAGTGAGTTCGTAACTACTTCGTCTGCTTCGAAACCAATCTTAACTGCAACACCATGGATCTGGTGCCCCTCCTTAAGTGCAGAAATACTAGAACAAGCAATAAGAGCATTGGAGAAAGTAAAATTTAAATGCATTACATTTGAGCCAATCATCTTGAAAAACATAACTACTGCCTCCTTTCCATCACCCATCTCAAGATACCTTCTGACAATCACATTCCAAGAAACAGAATTTGGGTTGGGTATCTCATCAAACATTTTACGAGCTTCACTAATAACCTGGCATTTCCCATACACATCAACAATAGAACTCGCTAAAATAACATTCGAACAAAGCCCATATTTTATGACAAGCCCGTGCACTTGCCTCGTAAGAAATAGAGCTAAAACCGCAGCACATGATCCAAGAACACTAGCAAAAGTAATCTCATTAGCTAAAACTCCAGACTTATTCATACATTTGAACAATGACAGCGCCTTCTCAGCATACCCACCTTGTGAGTATGCAGTGATCATAGCATTCCAGGAACCACCATCTCTTCGAGGCATTTCTTCGAACAGTTCCCTGGCATCCTCCAAACAGCCGCATTTACCATAAGTCTCAATTGCGCGGTTGAGAAGAAAAATTGGTGGGGTGGAGTAAAACGTGACGAGATGGGACTCAACCTTCCGGGCTTCGACAATGGCAAGCTTGGACGAGCAGATTTGGAACAGACGGGCGTAAATGAAAGGAGGGACCGGTGTTGGAGAAGAAAAGAGGACTGAGACAGCTTCTTTGAGGCGGTGCGATTTGAGGTAACGAAAAATTGTGTTGGTTATGGATTTTGCGTTGGCGGGGAGAGGTTTGGGCCTCTGGGTAGTTGTGCTATTCTGAAGAAGACGGTTTAGTAGAGAGACTGCATTCACACCCATGTATTAGAAGGCGCATGAGACGAGAGTATGAAGCACATGAGTACTTCAGAGTCTCAGAATTTTGAAATCCTAAGTTGAACATTCAAGTCAACACAACAAGATGAAAGGAGCAACAAACTGGGGTCTTATGATGCTCTTGTTTTTGGTTGAACAATGCCCAGGCCAGAGGCCAGCTTGGTTGAACTGAGTCAAACAACGTATCCTCGTTCAAGTGACCCATCTGCGATGGTGGGGCTGTTTCAGTCTTGTTAAGTACACCTGTTCATGGCCGGGTCAGGCTCTAACTAGGCCTTGCCTATGTATCAATAAAATACATTCAACTCTGAGTCCAAGCCTGACCAAAAATTTTGGAACAGAATATTTTATTCAATACTAGTGGAATGGCCTATGCCATGCACGGGGTATTTGATATTGATGGTGATGTTTGACTATACTTTTATATATCAGGTATAGATTTGTAATTTATGTTATTTTCTTCAATTTTTATGATTTTCTATTTTTTTGTAAATTTTCTATGTATTTCTTTATTTTTTATAATTTATATTATTTTCTTCATTTTATATGTTTTTTCATAATTATTTTGCAATAACATATATATAATGAGAAAAATAGAAAGTTGAGGGTAAAGTTGGAAAGTAAAATTAGAGTGTTTTGACCAAACCAATTGTACCATTCTCATTTTTCAGCATGATATATAAGTTTCTATGGTTTTCTACATTTTTTGTAAATTTTCAATATATTTCTTTGTTTTTCGTAATTTATATTGTTTTCATCATTTTATGTTTTTCATAATTATTTTGTAGTGATAATATATATAATGAAAAAAATAGAAAATTGAGGATAAAGTTGGAAAGTAAAATCAGGGTGTTTTGACCAAACCAATTGCAACATTCTCATTTTTTAGTATATAAGAAAAAAATGTTTTATTTATATTAAAAACCCTTAAAACTCAAAAATAATAAAAGATCTCATTATTACTTGAAACAAGAGAAGAGAAACAAGCAAATAATATACACACACACACACACACATAAGTTTTAGGCCCGGGCTTGTGTTGAGATTTTTTGAGAAAGCTCAAGCCTAGTCCGAAAAAAGTCGGGCTCGGTGTTTTAGGTCCACCTATGAACCTAAAATAATGTCCAAGCCTGACTTAGATGGGTTGGGCTGGGCCGGCCCATTGGGCTACCCGACCCATGAAAGGTCTACTATTAAGCCACACTAAAACGTTAAATTGAATATTTTGGCTTTCATGATATTTCAATTTATTTATGCATATTTTTAATGGAAATTTTGGAATTTTAAAATTTTCAAAATATACTACAATGTCAGTAGAGAAATTAAGTTTTATTAACATGGTATTTCATCCATCAAAAAAGGGATAAATTACAAAGGCCCCCTTGTACTATGGAGTCAGTGGCAAATACTCCCATGTACTTTTTTTGGTGAAAAAAAACCCCTAAACTTTGGTCGTGAGACAAAGATCCCCTCCCCATTAACTTGGCTAATGGAAGGTGTTATTTTTTTTTTAAATGATGATGGATTTCTAATTATTTTGAGATTTTACCTAAACCCTCATGAAATCTAGTCCAAAACCCTCCTAAAATTCATTCCAACTCTGTTCAAGAACCGATCTCTACTGGATTTCAAGCCAATATCACACTAGAACAGAGAGAAGAACTAAGCATAATATCAAACCGTTGTTGGAGAAGAGTAACTGTGTTGTCGTTGTTGGAGAAGAAGACTTATTTTTGTTGTCATTGGGGAAGAAGTGTTATTTTTTGTCGTTTATGAATTTTCCAAGCCCGTTGTATACCTCGATGTTTGCATGGATAGTGTTTTTTGTACCTATGGATATTCTCTATTAGTACAATATTGCCTGAAGTGGGTGTTTTATCTTACAATAATATTCTTGAGGTCTATGTTTAGGTCTTGTACAGTTATTAACTATGTTTGATTTCTATTAACACTTATTTATTGAATTTGATTTTGGTATTAACACTTATTCACTATGTTTAAGTGAATAAACATAGTGATGACATGCAAAAGTAGGGAAGGGGGAAAATACACATGCAAAAGTAGGATTTCTAGGCCATAGTGATGACCATGTCTCCCCCGGTCTGCCTTGGCTTAGCTCCTGATTTTACTATGTTTGATCTCCGTAAAATAGTGTTTAGGTTAACACCTCTTTAATGTGTTCGTGTTTGTTAGATTTGATTTGATTTTTTTACCACATGTTTATTGTTATCTTTGGGTATTTATTAGTTCTTTATTGTTAGATATGTAGTATATTAATGTTAGAAAAAGCATTTGCTTTGGGGCTTTAACATTTGTTTACTCTTAGCTTGTAGTATTTAACAGTTATTTATTATTAGACTGCAAGCATATTAATGTTAGGTCAAGGATTGGAACTTGAAGTCAATGGTGGTGGATCCTAACATATACCTAAATGAACTTATATCTCCAATTTGTTACCCACTTTGACTCCTTCTCCATGTCAGCATGAGAGGGGGATACAAAATAATAAGAAAAAAAGATGGTTGTTTTGCAAATTGTCAATTTTACAAGGGGTTAACTAAAAAAAGGGGGAAACCAATACATGGGGGCGGGGGAGTGTTTCAGCCCCTAATATTTATAAAGTGCAGATTTAGTAAAAAATGAATTTGAAAACTATTTAACATAGTTTTCTAGTTGAATGATGAAGGAGGATTTTGCATATATGTGCTAATTTATCTCTTGGTTTATTGAAGTGCGAATTAACATGGAATTTGGTATGATTTTAGTATTAATACTTGTGTATGCTTCTTTTTTTCTTTTTTCTTTTTTACCTAGATGTGAAGTAATATGTACAATATCAACATACATCATGGTGGTTACAAAGTCCATGAAAATATAGACACATTCATATATACATGAAGGGTGTAAGAGGGCTAATGTAGGGTTGCCACAAGAAACATTGTCACAATCTGGTTCATCAAGTTTAATTGATCATGTGGATGAACTTGATTTTGGGGCTGATGTTGATTTTGAATTTGAGCATGGGTCTGAAGCAAATTATGGGTTTGATAAAGAGGGTAATCTTCATTATGAGTTGGAATATGAGGTGGAAGAAGAATTGGAAGTTGACTATGATGATGATGAGTGTTTTGAGGATGAGGTTGAGGGTGAAGATGTCACTAGGGATGAAGTTCCTATTGACAATGTTGATGTTATTGTTTGATCAAAACATATTGTTTGATTATGAGCAGCTAGAGGAGTTGGAAAGTTTATACGGTCCTGATGAGGAAGGAGGACCTCGACTTGAGGCTTTTGTTGAGAGGTAAATGGAGAATCCACAGTTGGTTGTGGGCATGACTTTTTGTGGGTTTGATTTCAAGTACATTAAGAATGAGGGTGTTAGAGTGACGACAGTTTACATGAAAGAAAAGTGTGAGTGGCGTATGCATGCATCCTGGTTGCCAAGTAAGGAGGCCTTTCAGATAAAGCCATTTAGGAGAACACATGCTTGTGGACGTGTGTATGAAAACACAAAGGTAAAATCTGCATGATTAATAGATAAATACAAGGATAAATTTAGAGATGATCCATAGTGGAAGAGTAGTGCATTACAAAATGAGACATTACAACAGTTTAGGCTTATTATCACTATAAAGAGGCGGGTAGTTGTTAATATTGAGTTTGAAGGGATACATGTTGAACAGTATAGTAAGCTATGGGATTATTGTGAATCCATTTTAAAAATAAATTGTAGAAGTGTGATGAAGATTAGGTTCCATGAGGAATTGTATAGGTTAAGGATGTAAATGGGAGTTTCAAAGATTGTTTGTTTGGCAACAATGAAGAATCAGTTTATAGATGGTTATTGTCCTATCATTAGGCTTGATGGGTGTTATCTAAAAGAACTTCATTTTGGGCATATTCTATATGATGTTAGATTGGATAGGAATAATGGAATATTCCCAATAACATTTGCAATTGTAGAGGTTAAGGTGAAGGATCCTTAGACTTGGTTTTTGACATTATTAAATGAATGCATTAGAGGTCGAGAGTGATCATGGGTTGGGCCCGAGCAGGGCTTTGCACTTATGATAAGGGCTATAGCTTAGGCCCGGGCCTAGCCTAGGGTTTCGGGCTTGAAATATAAGCCCTAGCCTAATCCTAATGTTAGGAAGAAATTGGAAAATGCAGACACAAGCTATAAATTGTTTCTCAGTATATGTTAGGAATGAAAATTTTGAGATTGAGCATTTCAAAAGAAGAATGGTGGTGAACTTATAGTCTAGAACATGTAGTCATAGGGCTTGGGCACTAATAGGGATGCCTTGTTGCCATGCGGTTTCATGCACTCATGTCACAAGGCATAATTTATGACTACGCGGATCCATTCTATACTAATGAGATGTGCCTCAAGGCATATAGTCATTATGTTTTACTAGTGCCCAATGAATCCTAGTGGCCAAGGATAGAGGATATTCCAATCAAACCACCACCATTTATAAAATAACATGGTAGGCCAAAGAAAACTTGGAGGAAGGGCCAGATGAGGTAAGTTCTGCGGTCCATGTGTCCAGAAGGTTCATGAAGATGAAATGTACAAGTTGTGGTGCTGAAGGGCACAACAGAAGAAGGTGCTCAAAGGCCATTATCTGAGGTAATTCATGACATTTATAGTTCTTTTCATGATTTGATAAATAACCTACATTGATAACATTGTTGTTTTATGTACAAGATGGACAGTCAAGCATGAGAATGTAGGGTAGGGGTGGGGATTGCACATTGTTATTATAATCCTAATTAAGTTACGCTAATCTCCAAGTGTCTCATGGTAAGGGTAGTGTTATGGGTAAAGGTAGAGGTATGGGTAGAGGAATGATACAACATACTCCTTCACATGTTCTTTCTCAGGTAAATGGTTTTACAAGTAAATTTTGTTTTGTATGTGTATTTGGATGTTATAACTATCTAACCAAACATTGGGGCTTTGATTTTTTTATACAAGCTAGTCCATTAGTCAACATTCATTCTAGGGGCAAGGGCAGTGGTAGGGGTGGGCCCCTACCTTCACATAATTCTCGTAATCAAGTTTCTCCACAGGTACATGGTGTATTGTATATTTATTAATGTGTGATGATGAGATAGCTAAGTAAAATAGTGGAACTTGTTTTTTACAGGTTAATTAGTCTGTCACTACTCATACCAACGGGAGTCAGTTAACATTCATTCTAGGGGCAGGGGCAAGGTAGGGGCCCCTCACATAATTCTTT